CTTATAAATACTCATCTACTGGCATATATATTAGTGTGTGAATAGAGATAAGAAGAAATCATCCGTGTATAGATTATGTGAACATATTTATTAACAAAAAAACGTTTAGAATTAGAAAGTGGGTGTAATCAGGGCAAGGAGTATTATGGACAGGTTTGTTACACACACGCTGAGGTTGTTGTTCAGAATACAGCTTGTCACAAAGATGACTTCGGACTATAATACTATGTCAAATCACTATACATCGAGAACACATTATGTGTCAGTTAATCAATTATGTATTGCTATATACTGTTCCCTACTCTGATAAGAACCTGATAAGAATATCCAGAATACCCATATTTGTATCTTTATGCTCAGTGGGGATTCAGTGGTAGAAAAGGCCCCAGTACCCCATGCTTGTCTCCTCGAGAGGATTCAGTGGTAGAAAAGGCCCCAGTACCCCATGCTTGTCTCCTCGAGAGGATTCAGTGGTAGAAAAGGCCCCAGTACCCCATGCTTGTCTCCTCGAGAGGATTCCAGGGTAGAGATGGTCCACCGTACCCTATGATTGTCTCCTCGAGAGGATTCAGTGGTAGAAAAGACCCCAGTACCCCATGCTTGTCTCCTCGAGAGGATTCAGTGGTAGAAAAGACCCCAGTACCCCATGCTTGTCTCCTCGAGAGGATTCAGTGGTAGAAAAGACCTCAGCACCCCATGCTTGTCTCCTCGAGAGGATTCAGTGGTAGAAAAGACCTCACCACCCCATGCTTGTCTCCTCGAGAGGATTCAGTGGTAGAAAAGGCCCCAGTACCCTATGATTGTCTCCTCGAGAGGATTCAGTGGTAGAAAAGACCCCAGTACCCCATGCTTGTCTCCTCGAGAGGATTCAGTGGTAGAAAAGGCCCCAGTACCCCATGCTTGTCTCCTCGAGAGGATTCAGTGGTAGAAAAGGCCCCAGTACCCCATGCTTGTCTCCTCGAGAGGATTCAGTGGTAGAAAAGGCCCCAGTACCCCATGTTTGTCTCCCCGAGAGGATTCAGTGGTAGAAAAGACCCCAGTACCCCATGCTTGTCTCCTCGAGAGGATTCAGTGGTAGAAAAGGCCCCAGTACCCCATGCTTGTCTCCTCGAGAGGATTCCAGGGTAGAGATGGTCCACCGTACCCCATGCTTGTCTCCTCGAGAGGACTGCAGGGCAGAAAAGACCTCAGCACCCCATGCTTGTCTCCTCGAGAGGATTCCAGGGTAGAGATGGTCCACCGTACCCCATGCTTGTCTCCTCGAGAGGACTGCAGGGTAGAAAAGACCTCAGCACCCCATGCTTGTCTCCTCGAGAGGATTCCAGGGTAGAGATGGTCCACCGTACCCTATGCTTGTCTCCTCGAGACGACTCCAGGGTAGAAAAGGCCCCAGTACCCCATGCTTGTCTGCTCGAGAGGATTCAGTGGTAGAAAAGACCCCAGTACCCCATGCTTGTCTCCTCGAGAGGATTCAGTGGTAGAAAAGACCCCAGTACCCCATGCTTGTCTCTTCGAGAGGATTCCAGGGTAGAGATGGTCCACCTTACCCCATGCTTGTCTCCCCGAGAGGATTCCAGGGTGCAAAGGTCCCCAGTTCAAGCCTTCAGTCACTGGTTTGCCTGACCCAGACATGACTATTCATTGAATACAGCTGAAACACATTCATTCCCTCACTTGAAACTTGACCTAATTCATAATCACAGTGGACCTTGTACACTTCAGGTAAACATAACCGACCAGCATCTTCATACACACGCCAACTGTTATTATCTATTGTCTTGCCTGTTTTTGAGAATGTGCAGCTACATCTTAGAAATCTGATAATATCTCAAGCCGTAACGGTATTTCCTAGGAATAATCCACAGTACTACACCACTATTGACGCTGTGCACCTTGTGTGTCATCTACCGTTTTGTCGAATTGACGACTCTTTAAAATACTTAATACCGTTACGATTCAAATAGAAATGCCTCGTACAGTATAACTGTAAGTACCATAATATGATGGGTTCTTGAATTCGGGAGATTTTGAATATCTTGCTCAAAAACAGAAATCTTCCCAAATGCATTCTTTTGATATCAGCTAAAACCTGACTGACTATTCGTGCGCGTGGAATCTGAGATTGCTGTTCACATCACAAACACAATATTAACGCCGATGTTGATATTAATGCCGGGAAAAGAATATACTTGAAGTTTGTATTTGACCCAAAAAAATGACAAACGTTATAAAAATGTTACTAGGCAGCAAACAAAGGGTCAAAACCGTATCAAAAACATCACCAATTCTTGTTTGTTTCTATTTTAGCCACCATCAAACATGGATGTATACTTTCTGTTGCACGGCAGTTCATATATCGATTTTGTTACATTCAATGTATATGTATATAGACTCATTAATAATTCCTCCTGCCACCGTTATACATCATGATTAAAGATAAATGAAAATACCTTAGGGGTACCACTTATTGATTTTTAGAGGTTTTAAATTATGACTTAAAAAGCAAGAGGTGCAATCCTGGTACATTGCTTGGTGTAGTTGACTTTCGTCTGAGTAAGAAATAGAGTGACAAGTACAGTCTGAAAGTAAGAATGAAACTATGACAAGCATTGTCTGGGACTGGTACAAGGATCGGTGCTACCTCGTCATGTGTTTGTGTTGGACTAACGGTGGCACCCAGACTGCATACCTCCACGCCATCAACTACGTATACTGAGGCCGTTGAACGTCGACTCCCACAGCATCATGTGTAATCATTTTCATATCACTGAAGTTTTTCCCGTCATTTGATACCGGCTGTGCTTGAAGGATACGTCACTGAGAGATGTTTAGAATGTCATTGGTGGAATGGAAGTGGGAACTGAGCGTGTTAACACCTCTGTCGACATTATAGACAATTGTTGCCTAATTTCACCCATTTGGTTCGGACCACGCAGCCCAAGTCACGTAAAACAATAGGCACAATACTGTTTTGACATTCGGCATGGCTGTAGGTAGGCATCGTTCTGGTTGTGTCAAACACGGTAAAATCACAATCAGGAAGCGACTATCGTTACAAAAACCTTCCTGCCGAAATGTCAGAATGTGCTGGTAGTGAATCAATGGAACGTCAGAGAAGCGGTTCCTGGTTGCTGAATCACAAGGGAGGGGGTGGACAACGCATCACTATCACCGAACATCAGGGCTACGCCCGTGATGCTACATGCGAGGGTGGGGGGACTACACACCGCTATCACCGGACATCGGGGGTACACCCGCGCTATATGCAGGGGGGGGGGGGGGGGGGGGGGGGGGGGGGGTATGTTATTTTAACGATTCTCCGTGTATATGCATCTCACCCATCTCAATTACAATTACTAACGTCTGACTCAATCCTTGTTATAAAATTGTGGACGCGTTACAGTGAGTGAGTGAGTTAGTTTAACGCCGTTGAATTATATTTTCACTACATCACAGCGTGCGTGTGACCATCATGACGGAGGAAACCATACACAACTCGTCGGGAGTTACACATTGGTGAAACCCTGCAACTGCCCTGTAGTGCTGACAAATAAGGGACCATAAACGGATTCGAACCTACTATAACAGGGTCCTGGAATGTCAAAGGGAAGCAACTCCGCATACCGGCGTATTAGCCCAACCTCACTTGTAGTTAAACTAACGATAATGCTTACAGGTCATTCATAGAATTACACGTATGTACAAATTATATCTTCACCAGAAGGACGGGCAAACGACAGACAGACAGAAACAACGCAGATAGACGGACAGAAGACAGACAGGCATGCGAAATTCAGACGACAAAGATATAAAACAACGGACATCAGAGAAATAAGGTTGACGGACAACAGACAGGCAGACGAAAAATAGATCGGTAGAGAGAGAGAGAGAGAGAGAGAGAGAGAGAGAGAGAGGGGGGGAGAGAGAGAGAGATCCAGCAAACTGAATAATGACAAAGGTCTTCACTTTTCCTTTACAAACTAGGACATCAACGTGTGCGTTCGTGTGTAGGGCAATAGACAGGAATCTCCTCGAAATCCCAGCCACCACACGCGTTTTGTCGTGCGTGCTACTTGATTCACACACTTCACACTTTATTACCTATTCCCTATACACAGACGTTACGGCTGAATACCCATTGGCCATAAATTTCCTCCTTAACTTGGATCTGTCAAGAATTATATTAACCCGTACACCTGGGAGTGATTTCAGTGCGCGGAAGAACCAGTGTCATCTCGTAACAAACCCTTAAAAACCACTATCTATCCCTGATTACTGCAGTAATATATTCACGTCCATCCCAGGAACTTTCCAGGTTGGGTCAGTATAGAATCGTTAGCTGGCCCCTCACTTTGACAGGAATCATTGTGTAAGGAGACATTCAATATAATACGGGGCCACGTGTGTGTGGTCTCTTTAAAACTGTCGCCCCTTGTAACCCGCTGCTCGTACGTGACAGTGCCAACCACGGTGGAGTTGTCTCTATGTGGTCGTGGTGAGTAGACATGCTGTGGTTTCTCACCTGCTCCTTGAAGCCAGGTAAAAGGTAATTACAGGTAAACACAGATAAGTGCCCGCCCACACAACCCACCTGAAGCTAGGACACCGAAGCGGAAATATAGTCACCACAAGATTTTCGTTTTCTGTTTGACAGCAGATGCCCTAATTTCGCTATCTGTCATCTCGATTAAATAAGAGTAGACAAATATACCTGTCCCCCACACTATAAGCGGAAATATCTTACGTTCCGTGGGTCCTAAGTTGTAATCAGTAATCTCAGGTACTGTCAAGTGTTTGAGAAGAAAACAAGTAGTCAATATGTCAATATTATCGTGTTTTGGTCACGTCACGCCAAAGCAATGCAAATGTTGAACATTTGGGTCATATACTGGCCGTAGTGTTCATTCATAACAAATCCATCGACCTTTGACCTTTATTTTGATTGGCTGAGTGACGTCGATGATCCGAATATGGCGGTAGTACTATGCTGGCGTATAGCCAACGGGAGTCGGTTTGCGTCACGGTCGAGACCGCCTTACTCATTGTGGCGGGAGCCGAGCAGCTATAAGCGGAAACTAGGATGAGAAAACCCTACATTTAAAGACAGGTGTGGATAGCCCCTCTCCAGTCGGACTCGACACTCTGTGAGCGACACACTTATATCGCCAAACTGTGGAAACTGATGATGTGGTCTGTGCTACAGGTCTGCGCTCTTGCCTTAACCCTCAAGGTAAGTAAACGTTACCTACCTACCTATATATACATGTATCCAAGCTCGCGACGCCGGGTGACGAGACTTGACATCTCAGAGCGCACTGACCTGTTGTACAGACTATTTAATGGCTAGGCAAGCATGTAGCTGGTTTGACTGGAGTTGTTCAGACAATGCAGTGAGTTGCGTTATCTGTTTCACCTGATACAGTTTGAGGCCTATATTACGATACAAGAGGAGCTACATCTGTATGCAGGGAGAGGGCAGTGCCTCAGTTGTGATATTGAGTTGTCTTGCATGAGACTTCTGATAAGGTGATTGTATATAAGTCGGGTTTCTATTTTCGGTTTCTGTTACTTTGTATGGCCTCTGTCAGAAGTTGCATTGGATTTAATTGCACCATGGCGTGTCACTGAAGGTGTTCACCATCTGCTTTCACGGCCTGTCACTGACGGTGTTCACCATCTGCTTTCATGGCCTGTCACTGACGGTGTTCATCATCTGCTTTCATGGCCTGTCACTGAAGGTGTTCACCATCTGCTTTCATGGCCTGTCACTGAAGGTGTTCACATCTGCTTTCATGGCCTGTCACTGAAGGTGTTCACCATCTGCTTTCACGGCCTGTCACTGAAGGTGTTCACCATCTGCTTTCACGGCCTGTCACTGAAGGTGTTCACCATCTGCTTTCATGACGTGTCACTGAAACTGTTGATGATCTGCTTTCATGGCCTGTCACTGAACGTGTTCACCATCTGCTTTCATGACGTGTCACTGAAAGTGTTGATGATATCTGCTTTCACGGCCTGTCACTAACGGTGTTCACCATCTGCTTTCACGGCCTGTCACTGACGGTGTTAACCCTCTGATTTCATGACGTGTCACTGAAAGTGTTGAAGATCTGCTTTCATGACTTGTCACTGATAGTGTTGACGATCTTAGCATATGGTCTTCATCTGAGAGCTTTAAATGCTATATAGTGAAACTCAAAGTCATTATGGCAGTAGAAGTTATGTTATCCTACCAAAAATTCGAGACAAACGGAGTACCCATAGTTCGAGACAAACGGAGTACAGATATTGGAGCTTTGTGTAGATAACGGTTTCACTGTGCCGTAAAGTAACATCGTCTTCACTGGCCAGTTGGGTAACTGGAATCCGATGTTTCAGTGTATGGACAGACTGAACATGGTTGGGGGCCATGCCTTGTCGGCACGTTATTGATTTCAGGATAACACCAGCTCGTATTGACATTAAATGTGCGTGATTGTAAGGTTAGAGTAAGGTGACATTAAATGGTTATAAGAAGCATATTAATAGAGCGTGCTGGAATGTCCCTGTCAGGATCGATATGATATGTCAATGCACATACTTTGATCGATGACAGTTTGACTCTCGTTCTTACAATTAAAACATCGTTAGATGCACAATTATAACATCGTTAGATGCACCGACAGTCTCTCTCAATAGGATTTAAGTCAATTTATCAGCCCTTTTTGATACGGTATTCAAAACAACTTCGCCGAGCAAGTGATTTACATAACTATAAAACGACCATCTTCATATCAAAATGTCCTTCGCCTTTGTACAAACCTGTTCGGTCTTAGTCAGTGAATTACGGAGGTTGTCGTGGCATGGTTGGTATCACTCGACACTTCACTGTGGCGGATATAGGACCGCTGAAGTGTATACAATTTTGTTTCATGCTATTACTTCACAGGTCAACTATGCCTATATGACTCAGGTTGTTACTAAGACATCTGAAGTGACGAACACATCGAGGCTGGATACACCACAGGCTTAAGATTGACAGAGACAGTGAGTGCGTGTATGTGTCTGTGTGCGTGTATATCTCTGTGTGCGTTTGTATGTCTGTGTGCGCGTATGTGTCTGTGTGCGTGTGTGTCTGTGTGTGTTTGTATGTCTGTATGCGTGTATGTGTCTGTGTGCGTGTGTGTCTGTGTGTGCGTGTATGTGTCTGTGTACGTGTATGTGTCTGTGTGTGTTTGTATGTCTGTGTGCGTGTATGTGTGCGTGTGTGTCTGTGTGCGTGTGTATGTCTGTATGCGTGTATGTGACTTTGTACGTGTATGTCTCTGTGTGCGTTTGTATGTTTGTATGCGTGTAGGTGTCTGTGTGCGTGTATGTGTCTGTTTGCGTGTGTCTCTCTGTGTGTGTTTGTATGTCTGTATGCGTGTATGTGTCCGTGTACGTGTATGTGTCTGTGTATGTTTGTGTGTCTGTATGCGTGTATGTGTCTGTATGCGTGTATGTGTCTGTATACGTGTATGTGTCTGTATGCGTGTATGTCTCTGTGTGTGTTTATGTGTCTGTGTGTGTTTGTGTGTCTGTATGCGTGTATGTGTCTGTGTGTCTCTGTGTGAGTCTGTATGCGTGTATGTGTCTGTATGCGTGTATGTGGCTGTGTGTGTTTCTGTGTCTGTATGCGTGTATGTGTCTGTGTGTGTTTGTGTGTCTGTATGCGTGTATGTGTCTGTGTGTGTTTCTGTGTCTGTATGCGTGTATGTGTCTGTGTGTGTTTGTGTGTCTGTATGCGTGTATGTGTCTGTATGCGTGTATGTCTCTGTGTGTGTTTGTGTGTCTGTATGCGTGTATGTGTCTGTATGCGTGTATGTGTCTGTATGCGTGTATGTCTCTGTGTGTGTTTGTGTGTCAGTATGCGTGTATGTGTCTGTATGCGTCTGTGTGTGTCTGTATGCGTGTATGTGTCTGTATGCGTGTATGTCTCTGTGTGTGTTTGTGTGTCTGTATGCGTGCATGTCTCTGTGTGTGGCTGTATGCGTGTATGTGTATGTATGCGTGTATGTGTCTGTGTGTGTTTCTGTGTCTGTATGCGTGTATGTGTCTGTGTGTGTTTGTGTGTCTGTATGCGTGTATGTGTCTGTGTGTGTTTGTGTGTATGTATGCGTGTATGTGTCTGTATGCGTGTATGTGTCTGTGTGTGTTTATGTGTCTGTATGCGTGTGTGTGTCTGTATGCGTGTATGTGTCTGTGTGTGTTTGTGTGTATGTATGCGTGTATGTGTCTGTATGCGTGTATGTCTCTGTGTGTGTTTGTGTGTCGTCTGTATGCGTGTATGTGTTTGTATGCGTATATGTCCCTGTGTGTGTTTGTGTGTCTGTATACGTGTATGTGTCTGTGTGTCTCTGTGTTTGTCTGTATGCGTGTATGTGTCTGTATGCGTGTATGTCTCTGTGTGTGTTTGTGTGTGTCTGTATGCGTGTATGTGTCTGTGTGTCTCTGTGCGTGTCTGTATGCGTGTTTGTGTCTGTATGCGTGTATGTCTCTGTGTGTCTCTGTGTGTGTTTGTGTGTCGTCTGTATGCGTGTTTGTGTCTGTATGCGTGTATGTCTCTGTGTGTGTTTGTGTGTATGTGTCTGTATGCGTGTAAGTGTCTGTATGCGTGTATGTGTCTGTATGTGTCCGTGTGTGTTTCTGTGTCTGTATGCGTGTATGTGTCTGTGTGTGTTTGTGTGTCTGTATGCGTGTATGTGTCTGTATGCGTGTATGTGTCTGTGTGTGTTGTGTGTATGTATGCGTGTATGTGTCTGTATGCGTGTATGTGTCTGTATACGTGTATGTGTCTGTATACGTGTATGTCTCTGTGTGTGTTTATGTGTCTGTGTGTGTTTGTATGTCTGTATGCGTGTATGTGTCTGTGTGTCTCTGTGTGAGTCTGTATGCGTGTATGTGTCTGTATGCGTGTATGTGGCTGTGTGTGTTTCTGTGTCTGTATGCGTGTATGTGTCTGTGTGTGTTTGTGTGTCTGTATGCGTGTATGTGTCTGTGTGTGTTTGTGTGTCTGTATGCGTGTATGTGTCTGTATGCGTGTATGTCTGTGTGTGTTTGTGTGTCTGTATGCGTGTATGTGTCTGTGTGTGTTTGTGTGTCTGAATGCGTGATGTGTCTGTATACGTGTATGTGTCTGTGTGTGTTTGTGTGTCTGTATGCGTGTATGTGTCTGTATGCGTGTATGTGTCTGTATGCGTGTATGTCTCTCTGTGTGTTTGTGTGTCTGTATGCTTGTATGTGTCTGTGTGTGTTTGTGTGTCTCAATGCGCGTATGTGTCTGTATGCGTGTATGTGTCTGTGTGTGTTTGTGTGTCTGTATGCGTGTATGTGTCTATGCGTGTATGTCTCTGTGTGTGTCTGTATGCGTGTATGTGTCTGTATGCGTGTATGTGTCTGTGTGTGTTTGTGTGTCTGTATGCGTGTATGTGTCTGTATGCGTGTCTGTGTGTGTTTGTGTGTCTGTATGCGTGTGTGTGTCTGTATGCGTGTATGTCTCTGTGTGTGTTTGTGTGTCTGTATGCGTGTATGTGTCTGTATGCGTGTATGTGTCTGTGTCTCTGTGTGTGTCTATATGCGTGTATGTGTCTGTGTGTGTTTGTGTGTCTGTATGCGTGTATGTGTCTGTGTGCGTGTGTGTCTCTGCGTGTGTCTATATGCGTGTATGTGTCTGTGTGCGTGTATGTGTCTGTGTGTGTGTATGTGTCTGTGTGCGTGTGTCGATGTACGTGTGTGCCTTCGTTGGGTTAGGGTGGATTAATTCAATAACTGCCGACCCGAACAAAATAGCCTTTTAACAAACAATATTAGTTAAGATTGATTATGGATGTAATGTGAATGAATAATGAACCATAATCGCTTGAGCACATATGATAATCATATGTACATTAATAAACATATATCCTAGTTTCGGGTATTTAGTCATGAAAATCGTAAACGGTTATTTGTTAAAGACCCTGATAGGCGAATAAGCGCTACTGATAAATATATACTGGTAAAGGCCTGTATAACCAGGAAAGCACGCCATATATATATATGTCAGGTCTCATCGGAAATAGATCAGACGTACATAGACTAGTCCCTCTGAAATATAAGTATATCATTTTCTGTCACACAAAACGTTTTGCACAGGGTAATCTACCCAGGGTATCTCCATATAACCCAGCAGGTATATATAGAGCACACATCTCAACCACACCCAGATCTCATTGACAGACCAACACACAAAGCTCAATCACAGGTCATCACTGACCATAACCAATGCTTGCCTATTATGAATAGAAGTGAAATACTTGTCATCCATTGCAGGTTGTGACACTGCACTTGCGTCTACAATTATGAACTGACGTACATGAAGTCAATGGTGTCCCACTTACTGGTGTTGTCCTCAGTGGGTGGCCTAGTGTTAGAACGCCTTTAGAAATGAAAAATATTACATTATCAGCCTGAATATTTCTCATTTCGCTCCCCGGTACATGGCCAGCAGTTTACACCCTTTGGTTTGACAGATATGTGCATTCGACCTTCACCTTGCATGTCACATTTAACACGGAACATGCTACGAATAATAGTCGTCGACTGAGTGTGTTTATTTTCTCGAGTCGATTCTAGACGCAAGGCAAACAGCAGAAGAAAGTAAACGCAGTCAGCCTCATTATTTCCGTCGATGTGTGCGTCGCGACTGATAAGGTTATTATTATATAACCACATATCACCCGGACTTCAGGGATATAGAGTTTAACATCCACGTTGTGTCACGATCATACATTGCAGCGGTATTCGAGGCATCTACAGAGTACATTTGCCAAGGTGACTTTTGAAATTCAACTAGTTCTAGTCTTTCAGCATTTTATCACTGAATATGTATTACACTCAAAGCTGAAATGGTACAATCCCCAGCACGAAGAAACACACACCACTGGGAAACTACGCGAACCCCTTTAACTCAATATATCGCTTATGACGAAGTAACATTAAGGTCCCGACACATTCTTATCTGCACTAAGTTTCGGACAGACACTTGAGTCGAGGTACCGGTTACTGGATCTGTCGATTGTCTCAGGATTTACATGTTTCACCATATGCGAGAAATGTATTTGACATAAGAATGAGTTTTCAAGGACTGATTTAATGGTGCGAGAAAATTGTTAAAAGATATGTGGATCTGAACTATGCAGTGAGTGGTAATATCCCAGCAATACAGTGGCAGAAGCATGAATAAAGGTGACTTCTTCTATTTATCCATACATTTAATATTCAACACTTTTCTCATTCCAGGTCGGCTGTCACGCGGAGAAGATAACAGGTAGGAGAAATTTTCTCGCCTAGGGATCTAGTCTAACCTGATCCTCCGGAGAGAGGGGGGATGTGCAATATAATATAGGGACATGTTTAACTGTATTCATAAAAACTGCTCGACACAGAACAGAATAACATTGACTTTCAATGTGTTTTTCTCCGGGAATACTGATCGTAAGAGGCGACTAAGCTAGATCACTAGATTGTCTGGTCCAGACTGTCGTCAAATAGCTGGAATCAGTAAACCCCAAAACGGCCTCACACGCTCTCAATAGACCCCAAAATGACCCAATCAGTCTAACACCTCAAGACACAAAAAAAAACCTTATCTGTCTAATGGGGCCTCTACACACAAAACCAACAACATTATCTGTAAAACACGGAAACGACACACAAATCCAACAACATGATCTGTCTAAGGCGACCTCAACAGTCTCCAAACCACCAAACCTGTTTTCTTGTCAAAAGAAAATCAATCGTGAGAGCAATGTTACGTGATTATTTTATCAGTGAAATTACTTCTAAGTTACAAACACAACAGAATGTTCTACTCTTTTAACTGACGTTCAAAGTATGTCTGTAATGCTAACTCTGCTGACATCTATGATATGATAGTGTGTGCGTCAACAAAATTATGTTCGTGATTTACGATGGATTATAACATACTCTCTTGGTATGACACGAGCGTCCTGTTGGCTGCCTATGTTTGAATAGCGTGACGGGTCAAGGTCACGGGTGGCTGCCGGGTAAATGTGTAGATTCCTTAGTTTCAGTTCATTTCTCGGAATTATAGGAGGAAGTAGGACGTGTGTTTTTTTACACCATGAAATGTCTTTTCGTGGCTTTTACAGGGCTCGTTTTGCCAGTTCAGTCATGTCCCGTGTCATCCCGATTGGTACACACTGTCCCGTAGCGTTAGAACGTATTCACTGAAATATACTGACTCGTTTTGCATCGAATTCTCAATTCCTTGAGTCATACATCTTTGCTCAAGGTCATGGCCACAAACATAAATCTTTGCTCAAGGTCATGGCCACTTCATCAGGAAGAAGATCAAAGTAAAACACACCTGAACGACATCCTGTCCGCAACGTCAATATGGATGACGTCAAACCGTTATTACCTGCGCAGGTAAACAAGTGACGGCGTTAACCTATGGCCTGAACCCGAAGCATATGTCACGCTGTGATTACGTATCTCGGTTAAAGGTTAGGAATCACACACAATGTGTGACAATAGAACCACGCCGAGCCAAGTTTCTGATGGACGCTGTGTGCACAAAATGGCCAGTTCAGGCCGCTTGGCTCCCGCCTATTTCTGGTGTCCCCCGCCGTGATATTGCTGGAATATTGCTAAAAGTGGCGTAAAACAATACTCACTCACTTATTCAGACAGAGATTGATAACACCTGCAATACCATTGACTCTCGGCATAGTGAATACATGCTAGGGATTTCAAATGTCAACCTGAAATTTTATTAACTTTTTTTTAAATTTCTTTTTTTCATAATTTATTGTGGTTTTTTTGTTGGTTTTAAGGGGGGGGCTTTTATTACACCCATAAAGGAAATAATTTAGGTCATTTTTCGTATTTTATCTTTTAGCGATTAATAATCCAGTGAAGGTGACATACTTATACCCCTCGATTATATTAACACCGTTGGAGAAAGACTACACTTGAGTAGTGATATTTAAATCCTTTTGCACTGAGTGTGTGAGTGTCATCTGAAAGTTAAAGGTTTCTGGGGAATCGGCTTTTGTTGAGATTGTGAGTGGTGGTGCGTGTTATCTATAGAAGGTGAATCATTCAGTCAGTTTAATTATCAGAAGCCAATACCATTTGACATGTACAGAATATGATATATAGTTCTTTTGTGTGTTCTTTTGATAAAAACACTTCCGTGTAACTCTTTTGCGTTGAGCCGCATAAACAGACTAAGTTTCTATCTTTTAAAATAGAGTGTTAACTATATTATCTGATACTGAACGTACTACGTACTTGAAGTTAGATCATCAGATCTACGTACTTCAAGTTAGATCATCAGATCTACGTACTTCAAGTTATATCATCAGATCTACGTACTTGAAGTTCGATCATCAGATATACGTTCTTGAAGTTCGATCATCAGATCTACGTTCTTGAAGTAAGATCATCAGATCTACGTTCTTGAAGTAAGATCATCAGATCAACGTTCTTGAAGTAAGATCATCAGATCTACGTACTTGAAGTATGGACACGGGATGGCCACAATGGCAGCCGAGTGTGGATGTATCTTGAAGCAACTGTCCAACTATGTGATAGTAACGCGAGTACGTGCAAAGAAGCTCGAAACAAACAGTTTCACGTCGGCCAAAATACTGACTGTTCTCTCACCTATCGAGTACACAAATAACTAGTTATTGATTACCCGAGGGATCACACCAGAATAACCTTTCGCAGACACTTTAGCTGTCACGCCTTGTAATTGAGTACTGTTCAAAGCGGCGATAAACGCACCCCCCTCACTTACTGGAATCGCACACGTCTAGGACATGCTACTGTGTCGGGCCACCTGGCCCCACTGAGCACACGTCTAGGACATGCTACTGTGTCGGGCCACCTGACCCCACTGAGCACACGTCTAGGACATGCCACTGTGTCGGGCCACCTGACCCCACTGAGCACACGTCTAGGACATGCTACTGTGTCGGGCCACCTGGCCCCACTGAGCACACGTCTAGGACATGCTACTGTGTCGGGCCACCTGACCCCACTGAGCACACGTCTAGGACATGCTGGTGTGTCGGGACACCTGACCCCACTGAGCACACGTCTAGGACATGCTGGTGTGTCGGGACACCTGACCCCACTGAGCACACGTCTAGGACATGCTACTGTGTCGGGCCACCTGGCCCCACTGAGCACACGTCTAGGACATGCTACTGTGTCGGGCCACCTGACCCCACTGAGCACACGTCTAGGACATGCTACTGTGTCGGGACACCTGACCCCACTGAGCACACGTCTAGGACATGCTACTGTGTCGGGACACCTGACCCCACTGAGCACACCTCCGGGGCGTGGGTGTTCGTGGTACCACTAAATCAGAAATTGTAACCTGATTCGATCCATCTGAACAAGCATTGGGAAATGAACGTTGTCTCTTTAATAGCGTCAGACATCTTTATTATACATCACTGCTGGAGCCATGGTGAGTGATAAGAATGAAATGGTATTCTCCTCGCAATGAAATTGTCGAAACGACCCGTGTAAGACTGCATGAAAAGAACTAGGAAATATTTCAACTGGATAACGTTTGTTTATACTCAAGCTATGATTTTCTTATCACGTTGTTTGCTCTCGCCCGAACAGATTGGCTTTGCATCATGTAACAGTTTTATCAGCGAGTGTTCATATTACAAGAACTGCTCGGTGCGGTGTCATTAAAACAAAGGGCAATTGTACTCGCGAGATCTCGAAATACGACCCGAGAGCCAAACCACTTCTTCAAAGCTTTAAAAGATTTTCAAGACTCCAACATTCACGTCAACCATGTTTTCCAAAGCCACTTGATAAGGAACATAATTAAGGTACTTCATTATGATATTCAAGAAATAACGTATAGGTGAGTGTCCGTTATGGCCTGGTGGGGTAGCCTAGTGGTTATAGGGTTGACCCTTCACGCTGCAAACTGGGTTTGATTCCACTCACTCACTCACTCACTCACATACTCACTCACCCACTCACCCACTCACTCGGAATACACATAACCATAGAGACTCAAGGAGATCATATGGCCACTCAAGACAGCCTTCTATATACTTACTGGGGAACTGTGGGGCTTCCCCCAGCCCAAACTGCTGTACAACACACTAGATTACAGGACTGATTATCTTATCAATGTCATGGGGATAACAGTGTATATATCCACATGTTCCCCGTGAGCTACAGCACATTTACCCAACTAGTCATCATTAATCAGCAGATGACGAGAAGTATCGTTATTTGTCAGGAAACTAGTACATAATTCAAGACCGAGAGATAATGATTTCACCCGTCACCGAGGATATGTGATCGATTTGGAGAGCGCTATGTGATAAAACCGAGAAATCCCGTGTGACTCAAGCTTGGGGTGAGGGAGAAGCTTGCGATGGCAGATATGGTTTGCTGAAACGTGTTTTGAGTAATTGTGGGGAATTATTTTGGTTATAAAGGGCAAAGGTTTTATCTAAACAAATATAATATCTTCTTTAATCGTGATGTAATATCGAATTAAGATACGACAAAGTGTAATATTCCTCTCTCGATCAGGGCAGGGCCCCGTTTGGCAGAACATTAACCTTCATAAACCGTCGAACAACAATGCGTCAAACTCGAAGGGTCCTAAAAAATGCTCGACTCATCCGAATGTTAAAGTGTAATGTCATTACACTCATAAATTAGTAATAAAATAGTTTAGATATTACGAACATATCATATATATTACGCTTATTGTATTTAAGTGTTTTGTTAACCCACAGGTTATTTCTTTTAAACGTTCCATACAGCGGTATATCCAAGCTTGACTGTAGTTTAGCTCTTGGCAAACGGACAATAACGTTGGCTGAACTGTTTTGAATCATGTATTCGCGTGATTCAACTTGATTAGTCATGCGATATCGTGTTTGAGTTCTAAAAGCTAAGAATTTTCTCATCGATGACATGAAAGGTATTCATTTAGCCATCACTCAATGAGTAGGACCCACGACCAAAATACGGCGCAGAAAGCTCCAAATACGAAGTAAGGATATACCGAAAACTCGGCTGTAAAGCACCTGATAATTGCAATGAAAGTGCATGAACACAACCAATAGAGCTGTTACGATACACTATGCAGCGATACATGTCTCGATAATAAAACCGCGATACTGTACACGAAAACTAATCATATATAATACATTCGACACAATGATAAGACAATGGCTTGGGACATTATGTACACGACACGAGGAGGTTGTAAGTGTTATACAGTTTTATATGTCAACCTTAAATTGATGGAGCACACGGGTTGAAAGGGGGCGGGGGCAGTCGTCTCAGGCGCTGTAATTCGCTGTGCAGAGTTGCGTCCCTTGGACATGCCAGGAACCTATTATTGTGGGTTCGAATCCCGATTTGCACCGATGACGTTTCTACGGTTGTCAGCACTATACCCGTACTCGTGGGTTTCACCAAAGTGGTAAACGTCTGACACCTGCATCACAAAGGCGACCATGCATGCGGGTCGTAAGAGGCAACTAATGGGATCGGGTGGTCAGGCTCGCTGACTTGGTTGATACATGTCATTGCATCCCAATTGCGCGGATCGATGCCCATGCCATCAATCACCGGATCTTCTGGTCCAGACTCGATTATTTACAGACTGCCATCATATAGTGTGGCGTTAAACTACTAACAAAGAAACAATGTTAAGCCCTAGAGCGGTGTTTAAATACCCAGGTACAGTATCAGTTCGTACTACGCCCACAAACGGTCTTTCATTGAGTTGTTTAGTTTGTATTGGGGTTACATGTATCTGTTCAAAAGAAGCTGATGTTACCAGCATGCAAGGCGAGCTGCACACCAACAGTGGCATAAACTTACCGCCTGGGAGAACCGGGGAACTTGATAGGTTCGGCAGTTGACCAAATGTGACAGTTTCTCTCCCACGCACACAGCCAGTACAATAACCCGAACAATGTATGTATAAACACATATTGTTTATATTAATGTCAATCCCCACACACACGCCCTGCACTCCCCCACATCGCCTGATGTTCGGAGCTTGGGGATGGGGGACATTATGCACTTGTCACGTGACTGGAAGGGTGATCAGTGCAAAAACAATAGTACCCATATATGGTGATGTATCATTAAGTGCAACTTTTGTACCGACATTAAAGAGAAAGAGAAACAGATAAAAATATGAACTGATTTATTAAATATACAAATAAATGAATACAAGTGTGAAATACAAGTAAATCACTAAATATTAAATAAATGAATCGGTGAATCAATAAATGAATGGTATTTTTTCTAACCTTTTTTATCCTACATCTCATTTCATTTCTAAAGTTGATTCGGCTGCGCGGAAGCCTAATGATTAAACTCCTTGTTTTATTCCCAAAAGGATACATGAGCGAAACTAAATCTTTTGGTCCATTCGCGTGAGATTGATGAAGTATTGCAAACTGACCTGTAAACACTCACTCACTCACCCACACTCTCACTCACCAACGCTCTCACTCACTTACTCACTCACTCACTCACTCACCCAAACTCTCACTCACCCATGCTCTCACTCACCAACCTTCTCACTCACTCACTCACGCACTCATCTACTTACCCAAACTCTCACTCACCCACACTCTCACTCACCAACCTTCTCACTCACTCACTCACTCACCTACTCACCCAAACTCTCACTCACCCATGCTCTCACTCACTCACTCACTCACTCACTCACTTTCTCATCACTCACTCACTCACTCACTCACTCACCCACTCACTCATTCGGGCCGCCAGTTGAGGATGTAATGCTGTGTACTTACAGATCACCTCGAATGTCACGAGAAGGTCGCCGACGTCGTATTTGTCCTCGACTCCTCTGTCAGCCTGTGGGAGAAAGACTTCGCCGCCCAACTCGACTTCGTGCAGATGTTAGTGGACACATTTGCCGTTGGTCCCAAAAACATCCGAGTTGGTATTATGACCTTTGGGACAGACGTGAGACTGGACTTCAACCTGAAGGAACACCAGACCAAGAAAGAGTTGAAGACCGCCATCGGTGAAATTGCCTACCTGGGTGAACGACAAGGAACAAACACGGGTAGGTTGTGTGACAGTAAAATTGCATAAAACCTAGTTTGGGGGATATTCTAATTTGGGTACATCGTTTGGGAAGTCCATCTTCCTGTCACTCCCCACCCGCCCTGGTCCCTCCTCATCCCCTTCCAACATCAGACACCCCCGACCCTCCACCCCGACCTCCTTCACCCCACATACCACATCCGGCACCCGACCCACTGTCGACACCAACCCAAACCCTCCCTGTCACACTGCAGTTTCCTTTGTCTGATAAGATCAAAACAGTACGACTGACCTCTGGAGCCACAATTTAAACTCAATACTCTGTAATTATCTTTTACGCAAAGGGTCATGACATGCAGCCTCTCCGTACATACACGGGAAGTAGCTGTTTTGCTCAATGGCCACAAGTAGCCAAGGAGTGCAGCTCACAATGACCAGCTTCAACCCCCAACCCCGGGGTTGCCCAGGTGCAGGCATCATCCCTCTGACCTTGTCAATGGGTCCACCAATAGGGATGAGGGAAGATGCATGCCCTTGCATGAGATTTATGGAAAATTCAACAGACTGAGGGTGGTGTGGAGCGTTGTATTCGAAGTCAAGCGGATCCTTCGCATGTTGCATGTGTCAGAGAGTGCGAAATGCGATGCCAATGGTCTGGCCCGTTCCTCTGGTGTTATCACTGAGGTGAAGACGTATTGCAGCAAATCAGTTATGACACTCCTACTGCAACTAAATGTATTATCCTGGTACGTGAACCGTCAAGATAACATTTCAGAAAAACGAAATTCCTTTCAAGCAATCATGTTTGATTTGTGAGATAGACTTGTTCCTGAATTGTCCATGCTGACGGGAACGGTTGGTAACCAGAGGAACGAGTTGCACAAAGGCTGAGAGGCAAAGACCCGGATGAAAGACGCTGACAGCCCTCAGCTGTATTTGAATGCCAGTGTTGATCATTATACTCCATACATGTACAGCGCCAGCACCAGCCACAGACCACCATGACAAAGGCAGGATTTTGATGACCACAGCATTAGAACCATTTACCTTACGGTCTTTGAGGGCGGTTTAGGAATACCAAATCCTTTTACTAGATTTAACTAATAACACCTCCACATCATTTTTGGTATTTATGTTTGCATGTTTCACATTTTTTTCTAGTTTGGGATAAGCGGACCACAGCTTCAAATGTTTTGCCTTCGCCATTCACGAACTATATTTATCCACAGGAGAAGCGCTTCAATACGCCCGGTCGAAGATGTTCGAGAAGGAGAACGGCGGCCGTGACTTTGCAGGCAAGGTCATCATCCTGATCACGGACGGCTATTCCCACAACCTCACCAAGACTCTCTGGGAGGCATCCATGGCCCATAGCGACGGCATCGAGGTGTTCGCCATTGGGGTGGGGCTTGGGAAGGACGACAGAGAACTCCGGGGTATCGGATCCACCCCCAAGGACAAACACGTGTTCCGGGTGGACAACTACAACGCCCTCCCCAACATACAGGAGGCGCTGGAGCATATGTCCTGTGACCGTAAGTAGGCGGGTTTGTCACAGGGTAGTATATCCACCATGAGAATGATGTTGACAACATTTGTTTATTAATGGGGGCACGGGTGGCATCCCTTGGGCAGGCCAGGAGCCTGTGATCGAATCCCATTTAGCCTGATTGTTTCAAAGTTTCTCAGCACTATACCCGTGCTCGTGGGTTTTATCAAACTGGTAAACGTCTGAGACCTGCATCACTTTCCTCCCACACGAAGCTGACACGCCGTGATATAACTGGAACACTGTTCAAAGCGGCGTTAAACCAAACTCACACACTAGTTTAGTAATACGTTATTAGCTCCACTAGTATACACTGAAACATGGTCAATTTGAACTCGGCCATCGAAATCTTTTCAATTACCCGTATTTCGAGAGTCCGACTTAACGATGATTTACTGTAAAGCATATCAATACTACTTACAAAGGCAAACATACTGCCAAATGGGTGGTAATACCAGTGTGCGTCAGTCAGCTGAATAAATCATTATTGCAAATATATGTTAGTTGCTGTCCCGTGTTTCGATACGACTGAAATGCGACTTTCAAAGCGGCATAAAAGTCAGTGTCGCTCATTTGTGTTTCCATATTGCAGGTCCCAGCAACAACCAGAGCAAGACAGAACCTTCTGTAAAGCCAGACAGTAAGTTTCCCTGAGTTATATAATGTTTTGTAAATCGTTTAATTTGAAATCTTAAAAACAGCACAGGGTCATTAATTAATTGATGTCCCCCATCTCCTCTCATGCCAACTTCTCGAGGCAAGCGTGTCCACTAGCCTGTATCAAAGCCTAGAAGAAAAAAGACTTTGATAAAAAGGCAAGTGGAAGCTCTTGCCTCAGGAAGACACACACGCGAAACCAAACACATACACATACACATACACATACACAAACACATACACATACACATACACATACACATACACATACACAAACACATACACATACACAAACACATACACAAACACATACACATACACAAACACATACACATACACATACACATACACATACACAAACACATACACATACACAAACACATACACATACACATACACATACACAAACACATACACATACACAAACACATACACATACACATACACATACACAAACACATACACATACACATACACAAACACATACACATACACAAACACATACACATACACAAACACATACACAAACACATACACATACACACACCATCACACACACCTTCACACTCACACAACCACATACATACACACGAAAACAACCACACACACATACATACAAATACACACACACACACATACACACACATACAGCTACATACATGCACATGCACATAACCGCATATATACATGCACAAATACGCCACATACACACACAGACAAACACACACTCATACACATATACAATCACACACACACGCACACATACACACACACAATCACACACACACAACCACACACACACACACACACACACACACACACACACACACACACACACACACACACACACACACACACACACACACACACACACACACACACACACCACATACACATACACCACAATTCTGTTTTGTCTGTGCCTGACTTTCTGATCGGCATTTTGTGAGGATAGATGAAGTCCAAATACAGAACGTCTCAGTCTGCGCGAGAAGACATAACAATACCGCCACAGGCAGATGTGTCACACACATTCCTCCACACATGCTATAATATTTGAAGTCTCAAGTCCATGGCGGGCAATGCAGACACACACATTTGTCGCGTATCTGAGCACTGAATACAAAGGGACGTTGTCAGATATGGTGAACACATTGGGTCAAAACGTCCTAGCTTGTGAAATCAAATATAAAGCAGTTATCCTGCTAATCACGCAAGATAAGCTTTACACAGAATGAATCAAAATAAATATTCTAAAAACATAACCCAAGTGACACCACACCCACACATATATTCTTCCGAGTTATACACCAGTTCGTTACTAATGAGAAGCAAGTTTCTATGAGATACATAATTACAGCCCACAAAGGCCTAATTGGTTCACTAACGGGTTTTGGGTAAAATAAGACTCCCTTGTACAACGTCGATCATGTGAAGCGAACTCCTAAAAACATGAATTAATTAATCCTGATCATTGATATTCCAGCAGTTGATGAGATATTAACATGATAATATCACTGAAAGATAATATTATATTCGACATAACATAAAAATCAAGGACGATTTTCATTTGAAAATAAAATTCTACTCAGTGGTGTCACTGAGGGGAAAGGACTAAGCACAAAAAATATATCTTTTGGTACTTGGCCTATGAAGTAGGTAGAAATGTATAACAGTATACTCTATGAAGCAAACTTCATTAGAAGTAGTTCTAGGGAAAATGTTATTGTGCTGAAGGATGCTATAAGTAGTTGTATATGTTGTAGTACACGATGTGGTGGTGAATGAAGCAGCATCTTCGCGAGGCAAGGGGGTCATCTGACTATAAAAGTCCAGTTTCCACACTACTTAAATTTCGGAGTTATGTTATGGCTGGACTAACGAGTTTATACAATAGTCCAATCAAAATCGCGTCGATTGCAGGATTTTCAACGCATGCGTACCGTCAACTTGGCGTCGACAGATATTTTCCAAATCTTTTCATGTTTTAATCAAGACGCTCAAGTAATGTGATACACTTCGGTAAGACCTGTTTAATAACAATATGAACCTTCATCATTGATCAGATCGTCTTGACTGGGCGCCGCCATTTTGTTTGAAGCAAATGCAAGTAATATGATAGGTGGAATCTGATTGGTCAATAGAAGGGACATAGAAGGGACATTACCCAAATAGCCACTAGTGGCGCTACGTTCGAGCCACGAAATTCCAGCAAGGGTGGAAACTGGACTTTTAAAGTCAGATAACTCCCTTGCCTCGGGAAGATGATCAAGCAGTTGAATTCAAAGTAATGACAGATGATGTACACAAACAATGCAGACATACTCATGGAGTACGCTTTCGATCTCAAAACCCGTGTAAGACTGAGATGAACCTGTGTTGACCAACGTGAGCACATATATACTGATAGACTTCATACATGAGTTACCGAGTTGCCCATACCTACTGAACCCCTCGGGTGCGGTGTTCTGGTCAGAAGCCAAGTGACGGTATCATTAAAGCTAAATTAGTTTCATTTATTGATTCAGTGGTAAATAAAATTATTTTAATGGATATAATTAACTACGTATTGATAGTATCTGATATGCTTCAAGGAAATTTATATTTCGCTTGCTGACATAAATCCTTTTTATCAATAATGCAACTTTGATGATAATTTTGCTTCTACGCGTTATTTTGGACTTCCCAGTTTTTTACATGCATCAAATAGAGTGAGTATGTTTTTACGCCGCTTTTAGCATCACTCCCAGTAACATCACGGCTTGGGACACCAGGAAGGGACTTGGAAGAGGTTGCATTGTATGCGTTGTATATACTTCCCTTCAGCCAACTCAGGTGGAACCTAGTCAACCCTGTTTGCCAGAGATGTGTTAATCTCGATTGGCTCGGGCCAGGAATATTAATAATCGAACGCGGTAGCGTCAGTTGTTGAAGAAGTGGGTGTCCAGATGAACCTGACTAACATGTCTGTGTCTGCAGCAGGATGTGGCGGGAAGCCGGCGGACGTCTACTTCATCGTGGACAGCTCTTCCAGTATATGGAGGCCTGACTTCGACAAGCAGCTGGACTTCATCAAGGAGGTGATCGGTCAGTTCGACTTAGGCCAGGGCAGCACCAGGGTCGGCGTCATCACATTCAGCGACGGCATTCATCCCATCATACCTCTCACCGGAAGTCAGAACCGCCGTGATTTGGAAGAGCAGATCGACAAGGTTCCTTACACTGGTGGCGGAACAAACACAGGTGGCGCCATCAGGTGAGAGAACTGCTGACTTCTTTCCCCAGGAACCGGCCATTTTCAAACACGAGGATTTATTTTTGCGCCGTTTCTCTACCGACCCATTGTGACATATTTCGTTTCTGATACCATTTTACACGAAGAAACCCTGATTTGTCTGTCATATTACGTATATTACCGAAATATGGAACCAAATTCTATACATGGTCGTTCTGTAAAGTAATAAGGAAGGTATTCTCCTGTTCATTTACAATCGTGATATGAGAACACTTGTCGATATTTAAAGTGTTACGATATTATTTAATATTTCCAGGAATGGCAACTGAATCACTATCTACTTGTCCGAATGGACAATACAAAGAGTCTATCGCTTTCTTCTGTTCTTAATCTGAGAAACGGAACACCCGAATAATCGCATCAGTCGCCTTGGTGTTCACAGGTTTCTAACCGACCACGCATTTGCCGCTGATATTGCCCGACCGGAAGTTGCCCATGTTGCCATCCTTATGACGGATGGCCAGTCCAAGAACTTGACGAACACATACATGGAGTCCCAGCGTGCCCACAAAGCAGGCATCTACCTCTTTGCTATCGGCATTGGCCAGTTTGTTGACACACTTGAGCTGAACGACATCGCCAGCAACCCTGACGACGACTTTGTGTTCCAAGTGGACGACTACACGGCTTTAACAAGCATCAAGGACCTGCTCGCTATAAAAGCCTGTCAAGGTATGTGTTCTGAATCTGATCCTAAAAGTGGACCCAAATAGGTGAGAGCTAAACGTCGGAGATTCTGGTGCAGAATAGAACCCCAGCACGTGTGTCCCCGTTAGGGTTCCGAGTACCACTTCCCTTTGCTTATCATTCACTTGAATATATTCCCATAGTAGCCCTAGCCCTAACCCTGATCATCCGGAAATACCAATTCTCAAGTGTGAGTGTACTCCGAGGACGTGAATCGTTACTGGCTGGAGGATCTCATAGCGGCTTCCATAGTGCTGACTTGGACGTAAACCTTTATTCACTCACTCACTCACTGAGCTTCACCCAAGCTAAATGACCTGTGCGCCGTTCCACAAAGCGATCGTAGGGCTACGACTATCACAGGTTTGTGTTCAAGTGTGGGAGTTACGATCGCTCTCAGGAGGTTAGGTGCATTGGGTTTAAGGTCGCGTTCTTTTAAAATTAGATTTTAGTTCTCACTACCGCTGAACAAAGATCTGAAGACATCCGCTAACGGGTCACGTCAGATCGTACTTTCGTCCGGCCAATCAGAGCGTCGCTTACCAGATCAAGAAAGTGACAGTCGGAAAGGGCTTTTTAATCATTTATACTCGAAAAATGTAACACAGGCTTACGGGGGAACGACAGTTACGAGCTTTATAAACTGAATCAACACAATCTATTTTATCAAATTGTTAATGCGAGAAAATGTTTCGAAGCGTAGTCGCCAGTTCCAAACAAGTGCCGTAAAGGTGTGTGTATGTGCGTGCGTGCGTGCGTGCGTGCGTGCGTGTGTGCTTGTACTAATCAGGACTAATGCCGATTGTATAGTGCTAGACCACCGAGATGCCATGCCTAACAACAACGACAGCTCATGTCAATCAAACTCAATATTAATACCGGTCATATTGACTAATTATGTTTGACACGCCTAGCGATGACAACAAAAAATTAAGTCTAATCTCCTTTCACCCTTCAGGTCTCTTCTAAGAAATAGTGTAGACCGCGAGACTGATTGCCTCTCTTGTCTGTTTCAGTGCACGACAACTTTATGAAGGATCAACCAGGTGAGTGTCTACTTCCTCCTTGCGTCAGACAGGTTAATTAACGTGGATTACTCAGTTTGTTCCTGTCTCTTGAGGCATTTATGTTAATTTTGTGCATGTCACGGACTGAGAATGTCTATAATTAGCCTCAACATGCTACTTCATTTTTAACTCGTTGCTAGGATCTGAAAGAAGTATTTTTAATGTAACGACCTATATATTTTTATTACGTCCCAACATGGACTGTATTCATTCCAACAGCTTCTTCAACGGTTATACCATGGTAATTCATTGCATGTCACCTACTTCCAGCCTCGTGCAGCTTTGACACAGCCACTGACGTCATGTTTGTGTTCGACTCCGGTGCTATTGGTCGACGTCATAGTCACATGATCGAAGACCTCATCGGTGACGTAGTCCGCGAGATGGAATTGAAACACCACGTGACTCGTGCCGGAATCATCCGAGAGTCCTGTTCCCAAACCACCGACATAGGCTTGTCGCAGTACAATAATGCACATGCATTCAAACGTCATTTGAAGAATGTGGAGTATAAAGGACTTCAGCCACTTATTCAAAAGTTAAGGAGGTACAGCTTCAAGCCTCGTTATGGTGGACGGAAGTCATCTCAGAAAATTGCAGTCATATTTGTTGACGATCTACTTGACAATCCAGGGCCGACGATTCTTGAGGCAAGGAGAGCGAAATTCACCAACATCCGGGTCATTGTGGTCGCTACCGGCAACCATTATGATGAGAAGCAGCTGGAGCAGTTGGTGACGTCACCAGCCTCAAGAAACGTGGTCCACGTCGACCACTACAAAAACATTGCCGAGGCCAAAGGGAGGTTACTCTATTCAATGTGTGCAGGTAATTGTGTTTGTATTACATGTGGCCACGTTGTCGAGTTGTTGAATGTTACAGGTTTTACGACGGCTTTTTATAGGCCAAGCACAGTAATTAAAATTTGGCTACAAGCACAGTGTCGGTTAGACAAGCGGACTACTGTAGCGAGATAAAGACTTAAAATGTGTTCATGAAGGCTCACCAGAGAACTGGATAAATGCCTAACTCCATTGCCATGCATATCCATCACAAGAAAACAATAACAAAAAATGTTTTCCTCCATTGATAAGTCCATAATAAGCCCTTCAATTTTGACCAAATTATTTGACGAACAACTGGCCAGGTTCTTAAAGTGATCACTTGGCTCACTGAACCTGCCTGGTATTTCGCGATTTGTGGATTTATCGAGTCAGACGTGCTCCAATTTGTAGTATCATGTATTCACTTGAGCTTTTTGTATTTATTAAAGGGTGACATTATAGAGTTGATGTATCGTCCAACCAGTATGTATCGACCTCACCAGAATGTTAAATTGAGTCACCTTGATATAGCTCAAACAAAGAAACTGTATTTAAATTGCTAAAGTGAGGCTATGTGCAGAAACACCCACCCCTGCCAGTGTATAAGCTGTTACAACCATGACGAATCATAGATTATCATATGTCTGACACACGTCAGACATATTGTGTGATAGTCATTCGCAGAAGGGGGAAAGTGAAAACACGGAGTTTTCCCGCCAGTTTCGTCTTCGGTATGAACGCCTTTGACTTCAAGAAACTACACTACGTTGACGCTACAACCCGTATCTCCCACCTGACTGTGTACATAAATGATTCCGGGAAATGTGTAATTGGACATTAGACATAGCCACGGAGTTTCATGTCGTCCTACACGCAAGGCAGACAAGTGTTAGTAGTGCTTGAGTTACCTCCCTTGTATTGGGTAACACCTCGGTAAATGAATGTAAGTCACACAGCATGATGCTTGTTCCAAACAGCAAACTGTTGATGCCGAAATGTTTCTAATTGCATTTAATTCCATACTCCAGGTCGATGACGACCCCCACAGACCACAGACTTCTGAAGTCTCCAGCAACGATGATTTCCCGAATCAAGGAACAGGGTTTTCGGTACCAGCATCTGACGACTGTCCCGGAGGATGCAGAGCGCGGGGTTGTTAATACTGTGTGGACTTTGTGTCGTGCAACACGTCTCTGGCCACATTCCAGTGATGGCAAGCTCCTTGATATATATATATATCCTATTTATCATGGCGTCGGATCCACTTGTAGATACCCTCGACACAACAACTTATTATGGGACCAAGGCTTTTTTCTAAATACTATTTGAGTATTTATGTCAACAAGTGTGCTTGTTGTAATCAAAACAAAGTTGACAAAAACGCTCAAAACTGGATTCCACACAAATATTGCCCAATTAAGTGTATGTCTTTATCGTCCATTTCGAGATTTCAGTGTGATGTGTGACTAGTATCTGGGCCAAGACAGCACCTGTCCAGTACAGCCTGTTTATTAGCATTGCCTGTTATCAGTACTAATAGCGTTTGTGATACAGATGTGTTTTTATGTGTGATCTGCACTACGAATGCGTGACTACGTGTGTGCGCAGCACTACGAGTGCGTGAGTACGTGTGTGAACTGCACTACGAGAGCGTGACTACGTGAGTTGCACTACAAGTGCGTGACTACGTGTGTGAGCTGCACTACGAGTGCGTGACAACGTGTGTGGGTTGCACTACGATAGAGCTGCACTACGAGTGTGTGACCACGTGTGTGGGTTGCACTACGATAGAGTTGCACTACGAGTGCGTGACTACGTGTGTGAGTTGCAATACGAGTGCGTGACTACGTGTGTGAGTTGCACTACGAGTGCGTGACCACGTGTGTGAGTTGCACTACGAGTGCGTGACTACGTGTGTGAGTTGCAATACGAGTGCGTGACTACGTGTGTGAGTTGCACTACGAGTGCGTGACCACGTGTGTGAGTTGCACAGTTGTCAGTGTATTCGAGATTGATGTCACTAAATTGACCTGCTTCGACAAACGCGAAGACCGTGATATTAGAGATCAGTGGTGTCAAAGACCATACAAATTTACACTTGAGCCCCGAGTGTTTTCGTAAAACATTGGGATAATCCAAGCTGTCGGTATTGTTTTCGGCGGATATGAAACAAGTCGAGTGAAGAAATATATTTAGGTTGATCATATGTACATGTATATACCGTTATTCTGATACCAGAAATAGATCTGACGTATATGACGTATATCTGATTCTTCATGTCAAAGACCATACAAATTTACGCTTGGGCCCGGGTGTTTTCGTAAAACATTTGGATAATCCATGAAGATTAAAATTTCATATTAATTATGAAATGATAGCATGATTTTGTTAGAAATAATTCATTCTCCTCCTGAAAGGGGTGTCCGATATCATTACAAGCCGCGATTGTATAGATCTGTGAATACAAACCATAAGTTTGACAACGATGTAATTTTATCCAGTATTTATTTGATTGATACAATTGATATACATGTTGGATGTACATGAGACTGACTGTGATACGATGTTCGGCCAGCACACAGATTTAGCTTTGTTTGACGTCATGTACGTATATCTACATAAGCCGTACATGCCATGCGTGTTTAACTGTATTGTCATCCAGTAGTATGTACATTCCTATGTAGGCCACAAACTCATGCCCGTCGCTCAAGATGCGACCTACTTTATGCATCAAGTTCACTCAGTCTGACCGGGGTGTATCTGGGCCCCGCTGCACAAAGCTATTTTAGCGCAAAGTGATGTTAACTCTCATATTTTAACATAGGCTTACGGCAGTCGTAGCGCTAAGATAGCTTTGTGCAACAGAACCCTTGGTACTGTTGTACAAAACAACCTTAGCGCTATGACTGTCGCAAGTCTATGTTAAGGTATGGGGGTTACGATCACCTTAGCGCTAAGATCGCTTTGTGCAACAGGGCCCTGGACGACAGACGTATCTTTGTGTAGGAACTGATGAACTTCAGTGTGCCATTCCCGGTGTCTCAGCTCTTGGTTATGATACGTATGACTAGAATAGTGTTGCCGAATGGGCGTACGTACGTACGTACGTACGTACGTACATACGTATATGTCTCTCACTCAATTCCGGGAGTCGTCACACAGAAGATTTGGGGATTTTTTTATTTCATCCTTCCCTTTTGGGATTTTCATTTGTGTATTTTAATATGAATCTATATTTATAAAAGTTATATTTAATTTAATGATGCTGTATATGTAAGTTATTTAATAGCCCACGCCAAATAGAAAATGTTTGTTATGTTACAATGCTTATCATATGCCTATAGTGGTTGTTATGCTGATGGAGTTTCCATTGCTATATATTTGTTTGCCATTGATGCTGCTTTAAGGATTTCATATTTATAATATTGACCAATCGCCGCCATTGTCTCAGTGTACAATACGATATACCAGGGGTGGCTATAGGGTTCCGAGTCTAACTATGATGGACTGAGAGAGAGAGAGAGAGACACAGAGAGAGAGAGACACAGAGAGAGAGAGAGAGATCACAGGATGGATCCAGGGAGAGGTTGCAGGATAGATTGAGAGAGAGATCACATGATGGATTGAAAGAGAGGTCACATGATAGATCAAGAGAGGTGGTTGCTAATTATTTTTCAACAATCCCCTCCGAGGTCCACACACTTCTGCCAACGATGCCCATGTGGCTGGATCCCATTGGTGTAGAATTCTTCCTCTGGGTGCTGTCAAACGTCCGCCACGTCGGAAACGACGTCATTATCATGTACAACATGTTTGACTGACAGTTCTTTCTTGTTGGCAAGTGATGGAAATCTGACGGTGCCAAATCTGATGAATACGGAGGATGTTCAAGGAGTTCAAAGTCAGACTTGTGCTCAGGTACATCGTCCTGGTGGAGAACACACCTTTAGTGAGCTTTAGTGAGTTTTCCACGACGTTTAACCTTGATGTTCTCACGCAGTTGCCTTTGCAGATTAGCATACTATTATACTATTAACCAAAACCATCCCCTTGCCAGCTGATGGAACATTTCTTTACTTCGGAGGACGGGGAGGGGGGGGGGGGGGGGCTGAGATGTTTCTCCTGCTTGGACTGGTGTGTAGTCTCTGGCGGATAGTGGTGAACCCAAGCCTCATCCATAGTTACACATCACCCATCAAAATGAGATGTCACTTCACACGAGAGATGCCTATCATATTGGCTATGTGAATCACCCAAATCATGTCATGTATTTTAACAGCACTTTCAATGGTTGTGGCAGTTCTTGGATCATACTTAAGGCTCTCTACCCCTCCTGAACTCTGCTACCCACCTCTTAACAGCGGCAAAGGCAGGATTATCATCCCCTAAACGTAACACCGTGTCGGCGTGGATGACAATGAAGCCCCTTCATTTGGAGATACCTGACAGCGCGGAAGCCAATTTTGACCATGTTTATCGACAGACAATACCTATTCGCTTTGATGCCCGCAGAAATGTGCAGCCAGATTGTGTATATGGGCCCAGTGTAGCTGGAAAGTGGTGTACTTAACTCATGTAAACTATTGGAGTGTACTATAGGCTCAGAGCTGTTCAGCCACCCCTCGCCTGTCGTTTAATCCATCCATTCTTTGTCCATTACATCTGGTTCTGTTGTGATCACCTGTCTTAGTTTATGCCGAGTTATACGTTAATGTATATCGTGAGCTTATTGGCACAATAAATTGTTGAATGTTCAGCAAAATTAATGAATTTGCTTTATAACCTTTTTTTTAAAAAAACAATGGAATCTGTCTAAGACGCCCAAAGTCCATCCTCGATTATACAGTGACACTGTGTTATTTGACCATTCTATTATGGTATATAGTTGTGATAATAGGCATCACGTGTCAGCTTGATGTGGGAGGAAAACCGTTATACAGGTCTAAGTTTTTTGAAACCCACAATCGCGGGTATGGTGCAGACAAACATAGAAACAGAATCTCGGCGACCCTAGGCCTCACTCATATGTGTGTGTGATGCCGGCTCAGCGAATCACGGCATTTCAGACGGTCGGGTCACTTGTACCCCCTTCTTGTTATGGACCGTGGTCTAGTGGTAGAGGGTCCACCCGGAGAGCGGAAAGTCCGGGGTTCGATCCCCGGCCGCGTCATACCAAAACACGTTAAAAGATGGTACTTGTTGTTACCTTGTCTGGCGCTCGGCATTAAGGGGCTAAAACAAGGACTGGTCGGCTCGGAGTCAGTATACTGTGTCTGAGTGGGGTATTCATGTGAAACTGCTGCATGGTATCTCAGTGAGCTAGCACTATAAATCGGCATCAGTCCAGACTAGTACAAGCAGCCACACACACACACACGTGCATGCACGTCGCTATATAAGTGCAATAACCTTGGACGCGACGTTAAACCCAATTTAACCTCACCTCACCTTGTTATGACAACAGATTGTAGATGTAATACTCTGGGTACTCCCGGAAGACATAGCTCGGACAAACTATGGTATTGATTTGCAGAAATTGCTGTACAATATCTAAAAAGCGGAAAGTAAGTTTGTACTCGCCAGTTCAAGGTTCTGATCAGAAAATGCCTTTGAAGTGTTTCGCTGGTCTGGTTTCGGGGGGGAACATTTTGCGACAGAGTAGTTGAAGCACCTTTAAAATCTCCCAGGCTCAGATCGTGAAATATAAAATGTATGAAGCGCCAATAAATATAAGCACTACTCTCGAAAAATTAACACGTGAGGCAAAGAAAAATCAGCCGCAAACAGTGCATATAAGTGGGGAATCGAACACGGGTTTCGACGTGTCGAACCAACACTACAAATACAAAGAAATTAATATGTAGTTTCTGATTTTACTGACGTAACCCTGTGTTGTATCCAGACATGTAATTATTGCTGGCAAGTCTAATCAAACGGTTCGATCCGGCACGATTCGACATGTATGTTAAGCATTTAGACCCAGGAAAACGGAAAACTGGCCCCTGTTTATCTGGCTCCTCGGGAAAACTGGCACCAGTAAATCTGTCTCCTCGGGAAAACTGTCAATATTCCAGCAATACCACGGCGGGGGACACCAGAAATGGGTTTGTACCAATGTGGGGAATCGAACCCTGGCCTTCAGCGTGACGAGTGAACGCTTTAACCACTAGGCTACCCATCGCCCCTCCTGAGGAAATCTGGCCCCTGGACATCTGCCTCCTCAGGAAAACTGACCCCTGTAAACCTGCCACCTCAGGAAAACTGACCCCTGTAAATCTGCCACCTTACGAAAACTGATCCCGAGTATACCTGTCTGAGTCATATCAAATTAGATAAGTAGATATTAAGTAACTTTGTTTCAATATTACGGTAAGTTAATTACGTTTCCAGGGGTTTTTTATAGGCTATTGGAGTGTATATAGAGATTGTGGTCCGGTTCTTAATATGATATTTTTCATGTACCCCAACAATATAAAAGTAATGTATAACATATACATTATTCAGATGTTTTCCTAGAGATTTGGCTGAATACGGTTGCCATGTGCCAAAATCCTAAAGTTTTATTGTTATTGAAACACTTCTTGTACATCCCCATGGGCACAAAATGTCTTGATTTCTTTTCTGGTTCTTTATTTTTTAAAAACAAGGGGATGTGTCCAAGACGTTGAACTTACGTATGGAAAACAGTAAGGGACATTCTCGCGTGCTCGCGATCTCAAAAACAAACGGTGCGAGAACGCGAAAATGTCCTTCAAAGTATTCCATACTTAAGCTTCAGTTTGATGAAACTAACTCTCCAGAAGACTTCATGATAAGAGGGATGACTTCAACTGTCCAGTAGTCATAGTCCCCTTTATGTCAAGCAATATTCCAGAATCCCCAGCATATT